CTCTCTCTCTCTCCTCCTCTCTCTCTCTCTCTCTCTCTCTCTCTCTCTCTCTCTCCGATAGTGCATGTTGCCGCTGTGGTGTCCGGCCGTCCTTCCCTCTTTGCTTTCATGCTGAGAATGGAGCTCCTGGGTTGATGTGAGGTCAGCCAGCTCTCTTACATTGCCATGCATGATGCATTCTGTCCCTCTCTCTTTTTTCCTTTCTTATTTGCTTGCTTGTCTTCCTCTCTCGGTGGTTTTTGTTCCCTTATCTTCCGCCTTTTTCTCCTAAACTGAAAGTTTAGGAACTTCCTTAAAGAGTGGATAGTTTTGCATGGTATAATCTAGTTGGTTTTGAGCTGTTGCCTTCATTTCCTTATCTCCCTTCATGAAAAATTTGGGGTGGATTGGCATCTAAACTCTTACCGTTTGAGGTTCATGACCAGATCATTAGCTTAAGTCCAGAAGATTCTGTGTTGGCATTTGAAGGTGCTGATTGAACTCCAAGGTGATATTTAGGCTGATTCTGTAACACCAAAATAATCAGGCACAGAATTTGTGAAGCATAGATGTTTGAGGCTTGAGCCATCCTTAGTATTTCTTGAGCTCCTCTTATCGAAATCGATTTTGGAGCTTAGCTTGATCGAGTGGTAATGGTCCCCAGAAAATTAATTTGCAGCTTTGGCTTTTCTTAAGCTGATGCACCTAAAGGGTGGTAAAACAGGGGATAATGAGTTTGAGTTAGTGTAGAAAGTGTCCTCCAAGTCCCATATCTGCTGCATGCATCACACATTCTAGTGTATTTATATTCACCAATTACAGTATTTAGCTGGTCATGCATCACACATTCCAAGTCCCATATCTGCAGCATTTCTGTTCCTTGAGGAGAGTTGAGCTTTGAAATAAATGAGACGCAGGCTACAAATTTGGATGTAGGCCGAGGGTCTAAAGGCAAGCTTGCCAATTCTGCTCCAAGCTAACTCTTTATATTGAAATATGTTGGTATTAATAGCTGAAATAGAATGCCAGCATCCTCTATTATATAACAATTAAAATTTCTGTTGTTTCAGCCCCTTTTGGCTGCAATGTCATATTTGTCTTTCTGTTTATATGGGCATGTATGTTTGTTTATAAGAGTGCATAAATGACTTAACATATATATATATATGATACAAGAAATATACAATGATCCAGAAAAGGAAATCTGGAATATTTTAATGGATAATGCATATCAGTTAGGAAACCAGAATGGGAATAACATGTTAAAATATAATAGTGGGAAAAAAATTCCATCGTTTTCTTTTTATGATTGTTATCTCCTTTTACTGCATGCTTTAAAAGAAATAGTTGGTGCATCCATCAGAGAAGTTTGCAGCTAATAATTTAATTTTACTGTTGCTTAGGAAATAATCATTTTTAATCTGGCCTCAAATTCTTGATTTACTATTGTAGGAAATTGTCAGAATCATGGATAACAAGACATGGCTTTGGAAGAGGAAGTCTTCAGAAAAGAGCATCGAGGTAAGCTTTAGTTAGATCTGCTTGATTGATTGTTCACTACTTCTCTATCCTTCTTCTTCCCTTTCCGAATATAATGATGTCCTGTGATGAGCAATAATAGGACTTTTCGTATCTGGATGATTTTTTCTCTAAAATAAACTCAACAAACGGAATCTGTGGATCATTTTTATTTTAACCTGCTTAACAAAATGATTGTTTTGCCATTGGCATTGAATTAAAAGGGTGGCAATTGAATTACAAATTCTTTACCTAATATAAACATATATTATCTCAAAATTTAGTAGTACTTTTCAGAATCTCACACATTGAGATTTTGATTTCAAACTATGGCCTATTAATTTTTTTTGGTCCTTTCCATGTAAATAAAATTGTATATGTACATGCTATATGTATATGATTTACATATATGCATGTATATGACATATATATACATGTATGTATACGCATATAGCCTCATAGAGCAATGACCTTTAGTTCCTCATCGCCATGACCAGTCTGGATGAAACCATGTAAAAGAGACTGATGTACCATGCCAACTAATTTTTCGAATGAATATTTTGATGCTATTATTCTTTATCTCTCTTTGGAAAGATCATACCAAGATGATACAGAATGTCATCATCATGTGTCAAACTATTTTCTGTTTCCAGTGAAAAAAGATATACATTCTCTTTTTATGCTAGGAGTAGTTCTAAAATTGTTCACAATTTTATTTCAGAAAGAGAAGGCTCTTGAGTTAGAAAGATCCTTAGAAGACTTAAATGAACAACTATCGTCTGTTCGCACTGAGTCCGGTGCTAAAGATGATCTTCTGGCAAAGCAAGCGAAAGTGGCTGAAGAAGCAATTGCAGGTTAAACATGTTATTCTATATGTCTGTGCCTGGCACTAGATTCATATAAACATGATGGAGTTGCTGAAGGTATTTTTTGTCATAACAATTAAACATTGTCAACTTGTTAGGATGGCGGAAAGCAGAAGCTGAAGCCCTTTCTATAAAGCAACAATTGGATGATACAATACTTCAGAAAAAAGCTGCTGAAGAAAGGGCAGCCGATGCTGATATGGCATTGAAAGAATGCAAGCAACAGCTGCATGCTGTCAAGGAAGACCAGCAGTTCATTATTAGCAATGCTGCCCTGAAGATATCACGAGAACAGGAGAAGTCACGAACATTAGAACAAAGGTTGGTGGAGACAAATAAGAGGCTCACTGAAGCAGTTGTTGAAAATGGAAACCTGAACAGAGTTCTAGAGGTCAAAGAGAAGTTGCTTAAAGAGTTGAGCGAGTCTAATTCCATGTCAGAAGCAAAATTCACAGAAGTAAAGTCTAGACTTGATTCCTCAGAGAAACTAAATGCTTCTATGAAGTATGAGTTGTGCATGCTTCAGAAGGAGCTTGAGATTCGAAATCAGGAGAGAGAATTCAATCACAGATCATCTAATGCTGCTCACAGGCAACACCTAGAGAGTGTTAAGAAGATTGCTAAGCTAGAAACAGAGTGCCAAAGATTGCGTGTCATGGTCAGGAAGCGACTGCCAGGACCAACAGCTTTGGCTAAAATGAGAAGTGAGGTTGAAATGCTGGGGAATAATTCTACTGAACTGAGAAAGAAAAGGTCAAGTTCCACCAGTGAAGCCTTCAATATAAAGGACATTATTCGAGAAGACTCTTATGATGCATCAGGCAAGGGAGCTGCTTCTCTTGTTGAGAGATTACACGCCATTGAAGATGAGAACAAGATCCTCAAAGAATCATTAACCAAGAAAAACAGTGAGCTTCAGGCATCACGTGTGATGTTTACACGTACAACATCCAAGCTATCGCAGGCTGAGACAAAGCTCGAGGAATTATCAAAAGGACAAGCTTGCTTTGAGCTAGCAAGGGGCAGCCCAGCATCATATGACCTGCCCCTTTCATCAATTTCGGAGCATGGAGGCAATGAAGATACCATTAGCTGTGCTGAATCATGGGCTTCTGCTTTAATTTCTGAACTGGAGCACTTCAAAAGTGGAAAAGCAACCGGATCATCTTGCCAAAGTGCTGTTGTATCGGAGTTGAGTTTGATGGATGATTTTGTTGAGATGGAGAAACTAGCAGTAGGTTCTGTTGACAAACATTTTGAAGGTTCACTCGGTACATTGGAAGATAGTAATTCATGTGTGACTACCAAAGAATCTTGGACAGGAGTTGATCTATCAGAAGCAACAGGCAAGGAGTTCACTCCAATCAGAAGTAATGACAATCAACTTAGGTATGTATCACTTGAAAACCACCCTAGTTGGCTTCAGGATATTCTAAGGGTCATCATACAAAAGCATCATATCATGCAAAAAAGTTGGAGTGCAATTCTTGATGATCTCAGAGTTGCTCTGGGTGATTCAAATCAGGCAAAGCATTTACTTCAACAACCCAAACACACTTCATCGGATTCATTTGATGGAGCAATCAGTGCAGGCATACCGAACCGAGAAAGTGGTACCCAACTTTGTCAGTCAAACTTAGAGAAATCAATTTGCAAGCTTATTGACTTGATTGAGGGAATCATTCAGAGAAATATAAAGGGTAACAACGGTCAACACGTTCCATCTGGAGACGATGAAGGCACTTCTATGCATCATAGTGTTACAGCAGCAAATGGATATGTTGCTCGCGCGTTTCTGTGGAGAAGTTCTGAACTTACTGTTGTTTTACAGAGTTTTGTTGCAGTCTGTAACGACGTATTGAATGGCAAGGTTGATCTTCGACAGTTTGTGGCTCAAGTAACTTCATCTGTGGACTGGATTATAAGCCACTGTTTTTCCCTTCAAGATGATTCAGAGATGAAAGAGACTATCAGAAAACACTTGGATGGAGATGTTTCTTACAGTATTGAAGAACTTCAAGCTATGGTGTGCCCAGCCAAAGAACTAGACAAGTTGAAGGCACATGAAGAATCCAGTATTACTGAACAGAGGAAAAGACCTTTATTATCTGCATCAAATGGTCTGTATATCTTGTCCAGAACAGATGATATCGAATCCAAACCAAAAGATGAAGGTGAGAGGCTAAAATTTGATATCATGAGTATGGAGTCTAGAAGGAAAGATTTGGAGGAAAAGCTGAAAATATCTAGCGATAAGAATGAAAAATTGGTAGCTCAACTCCAGGAATCAGAAGAAAAAATTTCCAATTTACGACTGGAGCTAGCAGCACTCAAGGAATCCAAGGGGAAGATCGAAGACCAGATTATAAACCAAAAACTAATTAACGAAGATCTTGGAACACAGCTAACAGTTGCAAAGTCAGAATTGAACGAGGCTCATCAGAAGTTCTCATCCCTTGAAGTCGAACTGGAAGAGAAAAGTAATTGCTATGAAGAATTAGAGGCAGCATGTCTTGAACTACAGCTTCAGTTAGAAAGGTAAGCATCATTCTTTTTGTGGGTTTCCTTTTAACCAAGACATCATAAATGTCTTCTGATATAATTAATCATGTGTCACAGTGCTTCACACAAGGAAACTCCAAAATATATCATGGGTCAGGAAGAAAAGCAAATCCAAGCAGTAAGTGCTGTTGTTTCACTTGATGAACTATACGAGATTTATCCTAATTGTGCTACTTCATTAACAGTTTTCTTGGTAGCAGACATTAGAATATCTGCAAGGACTTCCCACTGGTTTTATTCTTTCTTGTTAGTTGCACGAACAAGATATCACAATTATGACATTATTTTCCTAAATTATGTATCAAGTACATGTTAACGTATGATCTTACAGGAATGTGATATAGTTGCAGCTTCACAGAAGCTTGCTGCTTGCCAGGAAACCATTCAAAACCTGGGGAAACAGTTAAAAGCATTGGCATCACCGAAAGATGCACCTCTATTTGACAAAGTGATATCCAATCCTGCTGCTGCAAAATCCAAACGTCGGCTTCAATTACTTGATCATATGAGAGCAGAGGATCATGCAAAATCAGAGGAAACCGATTCTCCCAACACAAAGGAAATCATCTGCACTGATGCACCAAGGCCACCGGCTGCAGCTTCTGAGAATCTGAGTGCAGGCTTGCAATACAAACACAAGATTCATATGAACCATGGCCAAAAAAGTTCAGTAAGAAGTATCATTAAGCTCTCGCCGGAGAAGTCATTGATGATCGTACCGAAGAGAGAAAAGGGAGCTAAATTTCTGAGAAGTCTCTTGCACCGAAGGAAGCGAAAGCACTAAGAAGCTTGTCATTGCAATGTTTGAAGCTTCTCGACTTAGGAGCAGCTCTAAAATCTCTCGAGTAGCAGAAACACAAGTGTTGGCATGCTTTTGTTGAGCTGTTGTTCATAGTTGCATACAAGTTAAGAAGATGACACACTGAGAGAGAGCAAGCCAGGTGCTTCTCAGTAGCACATTCCATGGCTTCTTTGGTTTTGTGGCATAGTCTGGTGTGGTGTAAACTTCCATATTAGTAAGTGTTATCCTGTATGTAGTTTCCCTTTGTTTCTTCCCTTTGGTTGTTATGCCAAATAACATCATACCGCACGAAAACATCATCTCAGTTGCTTGAAGATGGTAAGCTGCAGCTGTTGACATTGACTTCCTTCGGCTTGCCTTCATGCTGCTGAGATATATCGCTGTCTAAGATTCAATTTATATCATTAGTTAATTAACACATAAAAAAGTTCTCCTAAATCTTGCAATCTTCATATAATCTGTAGACAGGTTTCGACTGAATTATAATACTTGTTCAAAGTGAGACCATAAAAATCAAATGAAATCATAGATATGCATACAAATTGGATTAAAGAGTCAAAACTCGTACAGACTAAATCAAACTTAAGTGCAGTATTATTATACTGCATTTTTTCTTTTGTATTATTACATAAATACTCGTAATGAACTATAAAGAGGAGAAAGGCAAGTTGGTAGGAGAGTAGTGGGTGTTGTAATAGGAGATGCATGCACAGAATTAATCTTAATTTAGGTGGATAAGAAACATTAAAATTAGATTAGGAAATTGAAATGCTGATTATCCAACCTAGTCATTCATAAAATTTTTAGTCTTACTTAAAACTCAAATTAGCAACTTCACTAAAGTAGGGTGCTCGCAATCATTTCTCTCTGTTTACTGATGATGAGGGGTATGATCGAGGATGATCACATACTTAACTATCCTAAATGTAGGATTAACAATAATGAGACGAAGGGATTCAGTAATATCTTTCACCTGTGGAGGAATCACCTTCAGTGCTCTGACATCAACAAATATAAAGCAGGAGGCGAAGATTGAGGAGGAAGAGTAGTAGAAGAAAAGATCTAATCTTGGAGTGCCGGCATCCAACAACAGCTCGTTCCATCGTCGCCATCATCAACGCCTACGCACAAACACACACGGACGCATCATCTTTTTCTCGTCTTCACTCCTCCCTTTTCCTCTTTTCCTCCCTTTTGTTTTCCTTTTGGTGGATTGGAGGAATCTCCCTCATTGCATCTCCACCGAAAAGCGAGGAAGCCGCCATCATGAGAGGCAGAAGCACCGACCGATTGGACGGGCCAGCACTGCACTGGAGCAACGCATTCAGCTGCGTCGTCTCATTCCAATTCAAAACCTACACACACACTCTCTCTCTCTCTCTCTCTCCCTCCTTTTCCCTTTTCCTCTCTCCCAAGTCAAACTCCTCTCATCATTTGGTCTTCCCTCCCCCGCATGCTTCAAGTCCCAACCATGCCTCCTTCCCTTCTCCTTTGCATCCAATCCAATCTTTCCTGCACTTTCACATCTTATCATCAGTCCAAAAAACAGAAACAAATAGTTAATATTAGCTCATTCGAGTTTCATCAATCCAAAAATATTTTTTAGTGTTATTATATTTAAGATAACTTTAAATTTAATAATGATAAAAAGATCCATATAATAGTCGAAATATTATGACCTTCATCGAATCTTTACAACAATAACTGATGAAGATTATATATATGTATGCAAATTTGTCTGTCTTGCATATATAGCCTTTCTCCCAAAAAGAAATAATAGCTACAACTTGGACTTGGTTTGGCTTGGCATGGCATAGTCTTTGGGACACAAAGAAAACAACAACAGTAAGTGTGGTGCAGTGATCTCTTAAGCACAGGACACAGTAGAAAACAGTGTTGTATGTACCACAACCTATGAGAGTTAGGGAGATAAATGTGGGAGATGGCATATGGCGACATGAATGGAAACGATCATGAGATGTTCCTATAGTTAAAGCATGATTACTTACCGCCACCTACCCAACATAGGAGTTGGCCATTTTAGCATGTAGATCTGATGCATGCCTTTACCACGCTTGAGCTCCATGGACACAGTATAAATACCAACCTTTGTCCCTTCCGTGTCCACCCATTCACACACCTCTTTGACCAAAGAAGCCATGAAGGTTCACCAGTTGACGTTAGGCTTGTGGGAGCAACTCCCCTCCTCGCCTTCCACCTCTTCCTCCCTCTCCTCTTCCTCTACCAACCACCATAAGCGCCTCCGCCCGCTTGCCCCGAAGCTTTCCTCTTCTGCCGTCGTTTCCACGACTACAATGGCGGAGATCATCAGCTTGAAGAGCTTCAATTCGCCGCTGACCACCAAATTCGCCTCCAGAAACGTAGACGCCTCGCTGGTACGTCGTCGTCATCGTGGACGTGCTTCTGGTATTCATTGGTAGCACTGAGAGGCGTTGCTGTTTGCAGATGCAGCTGCAGTCAGGGGGAACGCGGTGGAACCCGATGCCGGAGCAGATAAAGCTACTGGAGGCACTGTATCAGGGCGGGATGCGGACGCCGAACCCGGTCCAGATCGAGCGCATCACCGCGGAGCTTAGCAAGTATGGCAGGATCGAGGGCAAGAACGTGTTCTACTGGTTTCAGAACCACAAGGCGCGGGAGCGCCAGAAGCAGAAGCGGAGCGCGCTCCTCGCCCTCGCCACCAACAGTGCTTCGCTTCCCAATCTGCTCAAAGTACGAACGAAGCATGGTTTCTCGCCTCATGCACACTTCGTGTGTCGCGTTACTTGTGAGGATTTAGGTTTATGTTGGTCATGCATGATGGTGCAATTACAGGGAGAAGAGATGAAGGAGCTCCATGATGGGAGCTGCAAGCGCAAGTGCAGGAGCTGGGGCAGTCTGGAGCCGGACGTGGAAGACAGTGGGCCTGGTGACCGCACCTTGGAACTCTTCCCGCTGCACCCAGAATGGAAGCAGGTGGGATAGTCTCCACACAAGCAAGAGAGGACTACTGTTGCTACTTGTCTTCTTTAACTGGGTGACTGTCTCTTTCCCCCTCATGTTAAGCCATATCTGTGTCGCCCTCTCCAAGTCCGCGGTCTCTTTTGTTCGCACTGTTCTCCCTAAAACAAATGGAAAGACGAACCTTTTTTCCTTGTGCTCGCCACAGTGCATTCTTTTTCTTTTGTCAACCACAGTGGGCGGAGGAGACCTGAGAGCGTGCTTTCCGTGCTGCGCTTTTCCGAGACTAACAGCCACCGCATCTCTCTTCTCCTTTGTTCTCTTCCGCTCTATACACTCGCACTGCCCTGCCTTCATGGCTTGCCACAACGCTGTCAGATAACTTCAGCTGCTCACAAGCAGCAGCAGCAGCAGCATGCATCGACATGACAGCTTGCCGTGGTTGGTTGGCAGTAGTCGGGGACACGACTGCTTCTTAGTTCTCTGAAACGGAGAGCATGCAGGGCTCCTTCTACCTTGGTGTTTCTGACACCCCTGCAAGAAATGCCCGCCTGAGAAGGGCACTACGCCGAGTAAGTGCGCCAGTCCTGTCAATGACACCCCGCAGCTGCTGGCGATCCTCCTTCCTTTGCTTTTTGCCCCTCAACGAGAAAAGGCTCGATAGGATGATTAATCGTCACCAAGAACTTGATGTTCGGACCAGAATTCATCGGCGAAACTGCTACTCTGGTGGCCTTTGCCATGGTCACACGCTCCCCGTGGCACGCCCCGGTTCGTCGGTCCCCGTGAGGGACGGAGTTTCCGGAGCAGGGTCTACACGGATCGACCAACCGGGGCCGACCACATCGATCGCCAGCTGATAGGGGTGGACAGGGGAGGCCCAACCTAGCATGAGCGTGCACACACACACTCAAAAGGCCATCATGGAGTGAGTGAGGGTTGCAGCTACAAAGATGGTGATGGAATCATCCTTTTTTCTTTCCTCATCTTTTGTGTGTTTGCGCCCAGATATGTCGCACAAAGCCGTGCTACCATATCCTAGATTTGCTTCTTGTTTTGCGTTGTCATTACTAACCTAATGTTCTACCAAATTAATGCCATTCTACTAAACCTCTGAGAATATGGTAACTCCAGGCAGAATCATCAAGCTGAAGCTTGATGAGTACATAAAACAGAATTGAGCAACAACCATTGTCACCATACTGACAATGGTTCATAAAGTCACCAAATTAATGTCATTCTCATTCATTGTTCTAATGAGTACATAAAACAGAATTGAGCAACAACCAAAGTCACCATCATCTCTCCTCCTGTATCACTTCTTAGCCCTCTCCCCCTATCGACAGTGAAGGGAGAGAAGAAGAAAGAGGAGACAGTGTGTGATGCAGTAGTAGTAAACTAGTCAAAACTTTGTATTCTACTCTCCCAAGGGATCTGAAGCTAATTACAATATGAAGGGATTTAACTCATCAATGCCTAATCCAATCATGACTCTAACATATGAAACTATTCATAGTGCTTAACATTGAAAAAACAAAAAATGCCTACCATTCTCACTTCAAATTAACAGATCTCACCATACCAGTCTTTCCCATATCTTTTGGCAAAGGATGCCATCAAGGAACAGGTAGTCTGACATCATTGTTTACTCTTTGTTCCACTGCCAAGTAATTTGCAATCATTGTTTACACTTCATGTCATCCTTTCTAAAGAGAGAGAGAGGCTTAAAGTGGAACTGTCACTACTGCAAGATATGCCCTGCCATGCCCAAGTTTCAGGGTTGGCCTAACGTAGCCCTGAGCCCATCCCCATCAGTCTTGTGTTGGATCACAAATATCATTACTCATAAACATTAGATGTATTATGTAATAAATACTTATATTACAAAATCACTGATGGTATTATTACAAATGCCTTGCTAGATCCATATTACACCAGCATTGCAAGTGAAAACAAACTTTCTTTGACAGAAAAAAAAAGGAAATAGACTGAGTGCCCATAGGCACCTTACTATTCAATGGCAAGATATGAACTCGGATACAACATCAACATAGAAGACAATGCCCAGACTAGAAAAGCGAGAAAGAATCTATAAACATAAGCTGAAGTATGATCACAAGCCTGCTGTTACCAGTCCATGCAAGGTGATGATACCGATCACAAGATTGTGGTCATCAACAACAGGCAAGAACTGCACAGCAGATGGTGGTGATTCCATCTTCTGCATCGCCTGCACTGCCATAGCATCTGGGCTGATTGTTCTTGGATTTCTGTTTGGCAAAAAAAATTGTATCCAATTAGTTTCCATCTTTGCATCATGAAGCACAAAAGTCAGTAGATCTAAAAGCATACAATTCTTATGCAAGCAGCGAAATTTTGACATCCTATGGCCAGAAGTTGCTCCATTGAAACATAGAAAACCACTTGATAGGTTGCCAAAAAACTATAACCAGACAATCAGAGGCCACAGTGCAAAAGAAAAGAGAACTACTATGACATGCATAAGAAAACTTAGCTCTGAGAATACAACTCACCTCGTAGCATCTATGTCCATTTAAAAAATAGTGAAAAACTGTAAAATAATCAATTAGAGTCTAGATGTAATACATTACCTCCAGCTACAGTTAATATTTATTAACTACCCTATAATAATTGGGTAGCATTTCAAAGTTGCATATGTTATACCACTATATAAACCACATGAGTTTAGGGGTGTTTAGTTCTCTGTCAATGGATCGCCTGCGAGCCTTTATAGCAAGTTGCCGAGTTGCAAGTATTTGGTTGCCTGCAACTATGCTACTTATAGCATGTGTACTTGCAGCATGCAACTAAAACCCTACATGTGGCATGTGGGCTTTAGGTTTGAAATACCACATATCACACTCGTTGACCGGCTGCAAGTTGAAATTGTCTTTGGATACCCTCTCCATTCTTTCACATGTTGCCTTCTCAACATTGTACCTCCCTCCGCTCTATATTAAACCATGAAACTGCCAACTCTTGTGCGAGCACTGGCCACCATCTTGTTTACCTTGGTTGCAATTACAGGTTTGCAATCATGCATGCAAGCACCCAAATAGTTGCACCTACAACTGTTAGTTGCATCATTTGCTTGTGTTTGCAACTTTATTTGCAGGCATTTCCAATTGCAAGCAACAAACCAAAACCTTTGTGAAACTTAAGGATGACCACCACTATGTTCAAACTCCAAGATGCCCGCAAAATTACAATCTATCTGCTCAAGTGAAATAAGAGAGACTAGTTGCTAGCATACTCTCGTAAATGAGTTTATATGGTTGCATACTTTTCTTTTCATCCACTGTGGAGGAGTTCAGAAGGGTACATGGCAGGTTAGTTATATGATGAGGTTCAAGCTCTTGCTGTTTCTGCTTGTACGAACTTGTCTGTTGAGGATGCTTTGGGTGATTTGCTCTGCAGTCCGGTATTACTTTGTCATGGATGGGATGCACTTCTTTTTCTTGACAAAGGAATGAGACACTGTATCTCAACTTTTCCTAGAAAAGATATATTAATCTAAATCTATGCTCTACCATAGTAGGATCAAAATGCAATGTGGCACAAACAGAATCTGTTTTGTTATCATTTACCTATCGAATTGTTTTACACTCTTCTAAGGTTCGTTCTGATTATCAGACAATCTACAACAATGCATATGATATTAATGTCATCACCAGCTAAGATGATAATGGGAAGTATGAGCTTATTAAACAAAGTGGCTGAAATAAAAGCCTGTAATAAGTCATGCATATATAATTTGAACATCACAGCATTCATATGAATCAAGGTTGTTCAACTTGAACTGATATAATAACAGTCTGGTTGTTCAACTTACTAATTTCAGCTGCCAATATAAAGATTTGGGGGTTCATGTTAGATGACAAAATATTTAAGTCATGCCAGTTTGTCCCAAGATACACAAAAAGTTCATTTTCAATCAAGATGCCTATAACGATTGCATTAATGGTTTTGGGAAGTGTTTTTTTTTTGTTAGAGAAGTGTTACATTATTTAGGTGCTGCTAGGAACTGGGAACTATTGTGGCTTCTTAAAAGTACTTTTATAACACTGTTAAAAGTGTTTTTACATGCAGCTGTTATGTTAAGCACCTTGTCTTTCCTTTTTGGACTTAAAAGATGGTTATTCATAGGTAAATGTTATGCCCATGCAAAATGGAACATCTGCGAATTTAGACTCTTCTAGGAGCAAATTGAATTCATAGATTCTACTCAAAATGAAATATTTAGATACCTGTTGCACATCTCACCAACTGTGAGATTGAAGATGGCAGCACCACTGGATTTGAGTGTGCGCCGAAGATCACCATCTGTAAAGGTTCCAATTAGATGCAACATTTCATCAACAACAAGAAGACATCCACATCCTTTGCTTGTCAACTCCGTTAACTGATCCATAATCATGTCCCCGTCCTTGCACAAAGGAAGCTCATTTTTCTTTTTCATGACATCCTTCACCTGCATAAGAATGGCTGAATAAGTATATGCTATATCTCTAGCTCTATAATTTCTTTTGGATGCTTTCATCCACCATTGCAATTGTCTTTAGTCATGCTGAGAGATTGCATCATCTACATATGCTCCAGCTAGAATCTCATGCAATAAGCTGTCCTTTTCTTTATCATGATTGTAAAAAAAAATACTGTGAGATGGAGGACTATTTTCAACGCATGTGAAAATCATTTAGGTACAAGCAAGATCGACGACTGTTATCCTTGACGAGTACATTCTATCACCAAAATACACTATATATACTATTGTCACCAGGAAAATAAATCACAACAGCCCAAAGTCCTAAACAGAGGTTCAAAATACCAATTATTTAGTATATCCTTGACGAGTACATTCTATCACCAAAATACACTATATATACTATTGTCACCAGGAAAATAAATCACAACAGCCCAAAGTCCTAAACAGAGGTTCAAAATACCAATTATTTAGTATATAAACCAGTGAAGTGTAAAATTCATCTACTTTTTACCTCTTAAATTATACTCCAAGTAGTAGGATCATTACCATTGCTAAAGTCTCGACTTGCTTCTGACTTAAGAACAGCAATGTGGAATGTTGACAATTGCATCATTCCTCGATACAATTGTGTGAAATGGGGTAACACAATGGAAAAGATGTAAGACTTTACCACATAAAGCAAACTGGCTACCAGAGTTTTCACACTAAAGTGGAAATATGTTATAACATTAGTTCATGATTTTATGACAGTCCTAAGCCTTCAATAGGAAGAAGACAAAGATACAATGCCATTTAAAAAACCTACAGGCAATCCTAAATGGAACAAATATTTATCAATGATCAGCAAAAGACAAGGTGCAGATACCACATCATTATGTTTACAAGGTACCCAAATTGACAACCTACATTGCAATTTCAAGACAGTAAATCGAGATCTGAGCCAAAAATTAAGCAACTGAATGAAGCCCAGATCCATATTCATTCCCAAACTAGTGGTAATAGTCCAATCCAATTCATCTAAACACAATGCACCTCTTGGAATTTCTTCGGGAGAATCAATTTAAAATCTTTGCCGGATTTGGACAGTCTTCTTTCAAAAAAGAATCAATCTAATTAAAAAGAACAACAAAATACCGTTCTTGAGATCTCAACGAACCTTAAAGATGAGGCTTTTCCCAATCTTTCCGGCAGGGTGGTTGGCCGCGTACTTCTCTTTGGTGAGCCTCCGGGCTGCCATAAGGGCGGCGATGACGGTGTCCCCGAACATCATCTGGATCGCCGCGGAGGTGACGGGGGCGAGACCAAAGGGGCAGAGCTCTCGCTGGAGGGGGAGATGGACATTGACGTCGCAGAGGGTGGCGAGTGGGTTGCCAGCGCCCTCGGCGGCAGAGGTGAGGGAGAGGAGGCGAGCACCCTTAGCGCGGGCGCAGGGGACGAGGGCGAGAAGCTCCTGAGAGGAGCCGGACTTGGATAGGAGAACGAGGAGGTCTCCGGGAAACACGGCACCCAGGTCTCCGTGAAGGGCGTCTACGGGGGATAGGAAAGCAGAGCGGGCAAAGCCGAGGGAAGCAAGGGTTTGGGCGAGCTTGTGGGCGACGATGCCGGACTTGCCGACTCCGGAGAAGAAAACGGCGCCGGGGGCGTCCAGGAGGGCTTGGGCGAAGTCCGACGCTTGGGCGAGGTCGAGGTGGTCGAAGAAATGCTCGAGGTTGCTGCGCTGCGCCCGGAACAGGTGGCCGAGCTCACCGGCGTCAATCTTCCCGGCCGATCCCGGCACGCCAAGAATCTGGGGCGGCAAAGATCCCATCTCTGGGTCTCTTCTGGTATCTCGCCGGAAACGAGGACGGGGATGGTGGCAATGGGGAGGGAAGAGAGCGCCGGGAGAAGTATTTATCGTACGTGGATGCCCGCACAGTAGCTATTATGTGCAGAAAGATTTGACAGACGAGGGGGAAACACTCGAGCGGACGAACAATCTGACCTCGTCACTTACCTGCCTTGTAATTGGCCAGTCTAAGCCTTCCAACATGGCTTAAGATCCTAATTACGTCACTGTGTAAAATAAAGGTTCATTAGTGGGTCATTCCGAAACGGGGCTGATCGAAAGGTGGAAATGCATTTTAAAGGTGTGCGATCATTCTCCCAAAATTGTTTGGAAACGGAGATACGATGCAGATCTTCTGCAATAAAAACTTGTAAGAGTCTTGTCAAATCCCACAGAGAAGTCTCCAGATCCTGTGGTTCCCACTGGCTGCTTAAAGGGAGATATGATTTCCATCGTACAATGCTTGGATAGGATTCAGACTACTTTGTCGGTCGCCTGCGGACAAAGTTTGCGACCCAGGAGACGACTTACTCTGCGGTGGCAAAACGCAGGACGAGGACTTTGTGTACGAACACCTCGTCAAGAACCCCGTCCCAGCGACCCGTCTCACGATTCGACAATCATAGAAAGCCAACGTGGGACCCAACAAAGTTGTGCCTTCGTGATGTGAGTCTATTGGGATGAATAGGGAACGTATTTTTTATTGTGGGGTTCTTGCTTGCCCATGTGGAGAGCGTGGTGATGAGGCCACCGACAAGCTCATTAGTCTTGTCTATTTATATGGAGGATCGTTTTTCTACTTAAAAGTTGATAGTGACAGTATCGGGTTCGAATTTATCGATTCGAAGAGAAAACTTAGATGTCCAAAGGTCCGAAGTCTATGTTATTATTGGGATTTGAACATGTTATAAATCGTTCAAATTAAGAAATAATTTTTTTTTTCAAAAAAAATATTTGAAAAGATGATTTTCTTTTTAATTATTTTGATAGTTATTTTTTAAAGATTATATCTTTTATGAAAAAATCTATAAATAGGTATTTGAGAGTAAATTATCATAACATCTTTTTCATGGTCTTCTTTACTCTCCAGGCGATTGAATTAGACATTCGCTAATTTTTCTTTGAAGATTATTTATTATTTGTTCAATACAAATGGTTTGTCATATCTACTAAAACTATTTACATGAAATCATAGCAATCTTATTGAGAAAATGATGCAAATATCATTTTTTAAAAAATGTTTATACATGTTTCAAGCCTAAATATATTACCTAGAGTATTCTTAGTCTTGTGTTTGTTATTTATTTCCATAGTATTATTATCTTCTTTGTCATATTTTTCAATAATCTAAAAATAATATTTTATGAGTTTATACAAATTCACCATGGGAGGCCACAAATACTATCAAATTATTGAATCAAGATTTTATTCATTTGGATCGTTTTGATGGAATGAATTTTACCCATTGGCAAGATAAGATGAAGTTCATGTTAACTGCTTTGAAGATCTTTTATGTATTTGATCCAAATCTAAAATCAATTCTTGATCTAACCGATGATAACACTGATGAAGTCAAAGCTGAACAAAAGAAGAGAAATAAAGATGAAGTCATGTGTAGAGGACACATTCTCAATACTCTTTCAGACCGACTTTATAATCTTTATATAGTGGAACAATCTGTAAAAGTAATTTGGAATGCTTTGAAATTCAAGTATCATGGTGAGGAAGAATATATAAAAAAAAAAAGTTTAATTTCTAAATATTTTGATTACAAGTTTGTGGATGATAAGTTAATCTTAGCACAAGTGTATGAGTTGCAGGTCATTATTAATCAACTGAAGGCTAAAAAAATTAAACTTCCTAAACCTTTTCAAGTAGGGGCTATAATAGCCAAGTTGTCTTCATCTTGGAAAGAGTTTAGGAAGAAGATTTTGTATGACTCCAAGGGTATCACTTTGGAGCAAATTCAAAAACATATTTGAATCAACGAGGAATCGAGGATGAGAGACAAGAGTGAGAACTCTTTTGGCAATATAAAAGCAAATATTGTGAATCAGCCAAAGAATTTCAACAAAGGCAAGCAAAACAAGGAGAATCATTTGGCCCAAAAAAGGATCAAAGAAAATTTAAGAAGTCAAAGAGTGGAGGCTGTTTTATTTATGAAAAAACTGGTCATTTTGCTAGGGATTGTAGATTTAAAAAAGGCCAGAAACCGGAAGTCAACTCCATTGAGGGAGATGATAATATAATCGTTACGGTGAGCGAAGTGAATGTCATATTTGACAAGGTTTCTAGTTGGTGGTATGATACTTGTGCTACCATCCATATTTGCTATGATAAGGCACTCTTTAAGACTTACAAAGAAGTTCGTTCTAAGGTGATTTACAAGGGAAATGTGAAACTCACTTCCACTTTGAGAAAAAAAGTCACTCTTACTAATGTTCTTTATGTACCAGATATCAGTAGAAATTTAGTGAGTGAGAATCTCCTTGGTAAACTTGGAATTAAATCTGTATTTGAATCTGGAAAGTTAATTCTATCCCGTAATGAAACTTTTATTGAAAAGGTTATTCCGCTGATGGAATGATCAAATTATCTATTGTTGGCGATGATTCTAAATTTAATAAAGATTTTATATTTATTTATATTGTTGATTCTTATTTATTATAATATGATAGATTAGCACATATTGGAACTAGCACCATTAGAAGAATGGTTAAGTGTGGCTTAATAAATTATTATTTTGATGATTTTAATAAATGTAAAATTTATGTTAAATCGATGATGAAATCCTTTAAAAGTGTTGAAAGATATACTAATTTGTTAGACTTAATACATTCTAATATATGTGAATTAAATTACATATTAACAAGAGGAGGTAATAGATATTTCGTTACTTTTACAAATGATATGTCTAGATTCACTTATTGAAACATAAAAATAATATTTTTAATACTTTTAAGGCATATAAAGCAGAAGTTAAAAATCAATTAGGGAAGAAAATTAAAGTTTTAAGAAGTGATTGAGGAGGAGAATACTTTCCTAATCAATTTAACTTGTTTTGTGAACAACATGACATAATTCATGAATGTTCAGCACCTAGAACACTTGAGCAAAATGGATTAATAGAAAGAAAAAATTAAACTTATCTAGAGATGATTAATGCTATGTTGCTGCATGTCATATTTTAAATATAATTTTCTTTAAAAAGAATAAGATCTCTCCGTATGAGTTATGGAAAGGAAGACAACCTAACATTGCATATTATAAGAATAATGATCCTCAAAAGATAAAGTTGAGAACTAGAGAAATCAAATGTGCATTTATAGGCTATGCTTCAAATAGCAAAGCTTATAGACTTCTTCATTTAAGTCTAATATCATAATAGAATCTCGAGATATAGAGTTCTTTGAATATTTAATGATTTTAAGTAATGATGTTCATCCTCCAAACTAGTGAAGAGTCACCAATAGAGACATCTCAAAAGGTTGGTGAGCAACCTAATATTTCTTTGATTAGACATCAATCAAGTTCACAAGAGATTGAAGAGCAATCTCATGAATTAAGGAGAAACACTCAGGTATGAAAAGCAAAAACATTAAGATCGGATGGGATCAGAGTATTTCTTTTTACCTTGTAGAAGGAACTAATAAGAGTCTTAAAAATAATTCCTCTTATTTTACAAACGGAAGATGATTCTAAAATGTTTAAAAAAGCTATGACATCTCATGATGTTGCTTTTTGGAAAGATGCTATTAATGATGAGATGGATTCTATTATGTCAAACCACGCTTGGGAACTTATTGATTTACCTTTTGCCTCTAAACCTATTAGTTGTAGAAGGATATTTTGTAGGAAATGTCATACAAATGGTACTCTCCAAACGTTCAAAGCAAGGTTAGTTGCTAAAGGATTTCGACAAAAAGAAGGAATAGATTATTTTGACACATATGCTCTTGTGGCTAGGATCATATCTATTAGAATTATTTTTGTTTTAGCATCAATTTTTTATCTTTATGTTCATCAAATAGATGTCAAAACGACATTCCTAAATGGAGACCTCAATGAGGAGGCATATATGGAACAACCTGAATATTTTATTCTACCAGAAAATGAACATAAAGTGTGTAAACTTATTAAGTCATTATATGGTTTAAAGCAGGCTCCAAAATAATGGCATAAGAAATTTGATGCAATAATTCTTTCTAATGAATTTATTCATAATATTACAGATAAATATATTTATCTCAAAACTTGTGATGACTATAAGGTGATAATTTACCTTTATGTTGATGATATGCTAATAGTGAGTAACAACATAAAAGGTATTGTAGAAACAAAAGAAGTTTCTATCTTCAACATTTAAGATGAAAGATTTTGGGCAAGTTGATACTATACTAGATATCGAGGTAAAAAGAAATAGTAGGGGATATATTTTAAGTCAAACTCATTACATAGAGAAAGTTTTGGAGAAATTCAGTCACTTAAAAATCAAAGAAGCAAATACCCCATTTGACCTAAGTATCAAATTAGTCAAGAATGTTGGAAAAATAGTGACTTAATTAGAATATTCAAGTGCTATAAGAAGTCTTATATATGCAACGGAGTGCACAAGACCTGATATAGTATTTGTAATTAGTAAATTGAGTAGATTTATTGGTAATCCAAATGTAGAGCATTGGAAGGCTATTGAAAGAGTTCTTAGGTACCTTAAACGAACCAAAGATTATGGCCTACAATACTTAAAATTTCTTGCTATTTTAGAAGGATATACTGACGCAAATTAAATATCGAGTTTTAGAGATAACAAATCCACTATTGGTTGGGTATTTATCTTAGGAGGTGGCATTATTTCTTGGAAGAGCAAGAAACAAATGTGTATAACTCACTCAACTATGGAATCGGAATTTGTTGCTATATCAGATGCATGAAAGAAAGTTGAATGGTTGAGGAACTTTCTATTAGAAATTCCATTGATTTCTAAGAGAGTGAATTCAATTTCTATACTTTGTAATAGTCAAACCACTTTAGCTTGTGCGTATAGTGAAATATATAATGAAAATTCAAAACATATAAGTCTTAGA